GAGAGATGAGTGTAGAGTTATTATTTTCTTAAAAGTTAATGGCAAATCATTTTTTGATGATCTGATTGTAAAGGCGTACTTTTTAGGGCACCAATAGAATCAGCTATTATCGCCATACCTTTAGAAAGAATTTTTGCGTTCAGTTAAGGGGAAGGTTATCTCAAAATTCGCTTTTTGACGAGCTCAATTCCTACAGAATATATTTTAAGTATATTTTCCAACAACTAACTTCGCCTCGATTAGTAAAATCGTAGCCACTACATTTAGGATATTTAAAACTAGCCAGGGTTGCAGATGCCAATATGTAAAAAAAAAATCATCAGAATCGATATATCAGTCTCTTGGTCTGGCCGGCCTATGGAAAGCGCTAAAGTGATGGTCACTTTGCCGGTACTCACGCGTTTTGAATTTTTGTTTGTTATCGATTCATCGTTCTGCTTCCTACTCGGTCTTTCAGTAAGTCGGATGTTAGGAGAAAGGCGAACTGCAAGCAGTCTACAAAAAAATTCCTCATCGGAACTTTTTTTATAAAAAAAGTGGAGGCCTCTGAATTTGAAATTTTGTACTCGAACATTCCCAGATATACATTGGTTAATTCCAATATTTCAATGTTTATACTACTACATGAGAAATTACTGCAATTTGATTGGCTTAGAGCAGTGGTATTTCAGCTTAATTTGAAATACCTACATGTGAAAATTACAAACCTTTTGTGGGTAGTATTATAAACAAATAATAGCATGATTTGTACGTGATATTTGGCATAAATACCACTCGTAATATTTCAAAATTGTCTCAAATTTCACTCGCCTAACGGCTCGTGAAATTATGTATAACAATTTTGAAACATCACTTGTGGTATTTATACCAAATATCACTACAAATCATGCTATTACCTATACTAACAGCCAATAGAACGCGCGCCCAATTTAAAGTGAGGGCCTGTTGCTAGGCAACCACCTAGGGAAAAAAAAATCTGTCCTCTCTCACAGCTGTATCCAGCATTCAGCCTAGTCTCTCTTTTTTCTTGTCGATTCAGTCCTAGCTTCTACCTCATTATCTAGCTACGGGCCTGATTTTCTTTAAAGGCGAAAATTTAGAAATGGGATCGCTTATTTTAGCACCCGTGACTACGCCATTATCCTGCTGTTTCTGTTGTTGGCAAAAAATGACGTGCGCAGATGTTATTGTACGTAAAGAAGAAAGAACTCCCACAGCTCCTGGAT